CCCCAAAACCCCAAAACCCCAAAACCCCGCAATCAAAAATTACTAGAGAACTTTAAATTAAGAATATTAAAATTTGATTACTGGGTAAACATGAGTAATTTTGATAAATTTCAAATAAATTAAAAGCAACTTAAGACTGATTTTTTTCTTATTAATTAAAATTTTTTAATGAGGTTGCAGTCCAAAGACATAATAGGTGTAAATTATCAGATCTAAAGAAAAATTGGAGCAGGCTCTTTTGGTTTAGTATACCTAGGTATTATTCTTCAATTTTTGAATCTAATTTTAAATCAGCCAAAAATTTGCTCACCCAGAAAGAAGTTGCAATAAAAACAGTAAGATTAAAAATGAAGTATGATGAAAATGTAGGAATCATCTAATTCTAAGACCCCGTAACTCGAGAATGAATCTCGTATATTGGAAGCTTTGCAATACGAAGGTAAAGCATAATAATTTAAAATCAATGGTATTAGAGGGATTTACTGCCATTCATTTATACGGATAGGGAAGAGATCATAACTATATGATCATTGATATTTTAGGCCCATCACTTGAAGAATTGTTTAATTACTGCGGAAAAAGATTTTCTCTTAAGACCTCCTGCTTGATAATGATTCAATTAATAAAGCGTTTCACTCGTATTCATGCCCATAATTTCATCCATAGAGATATTAAGCCAGAAAATTTTCTTCTAGGCCTCTAAAACAAATCAGGGTTGATACACGTAGTAGATTATGGGCTTTCGAAAAGATATTTTAGTTCGCAAACAAATTAGCATATCCCGTTCCAAACAAATAAAGGGCTAGTTGGAACTGCTCGTTATGCATCAATACATGCTCATATGGGAGAGGAGCTTTCTCGTAGAGATGACATGGAGGCTTTAGGCAATGCACTTTTGTACTTCTTTCTCGGCTAACTGCCTTGGCAAAATCTCTAGGGGACTACTAACTCTGATAAGTATCGTAAAATTAAATAAGTAAAATGTGGAATTTCACTCGACTGATTGTGTGATGGTTGTCCTAAAGAATTTCTATTATACATGTAGCACTGTCGGGATTTGGGTTTTGATGAAAAACCAAATTACTTATATCTAGAGGAACTTTTTACGAATCTTTGTGATAAAGAAGGTTTTAATATTGATGATCAGGAATTCGACTGGAAAATAAAACATGAAAGAATCTAAAGAGACATCTTTACTAATAAATAGTAAAATTAATTAATAAGCACTGATATAAATAATATACTCAAAGATTAGAAAGAAGAAGAAGAACAGAAAGGAACTATTTTATACGACAAATTTAATCATCCTCAACTTGCAGTATAGCAGTTCTAGTTTCATAGCTATGAGGATGTTGTCAAAATAATTAAGGAAAAAATTGTATTACAATAAATAATGGCCAATGAGGTAACTCATTACTTGCTTGAATATTTAATAGATAGATGAGAAGTTTAAAGAGTAGATAAATTTACAATTAGAAAAGGAAAGATTAAAACGGGAATTTCAAGTGCTCAAGGATAAAGTATATAAACGTAATTAGAAAAAGAGTGAAACTGACACAGTCAAAAGGGACGCTCCTATATTCCAAGAATAACAAAGATTAAAAAGTAAAATAATTTGATAAAAATATGTCTATAGTTGGCTAGAGTAAAATATATATTGTAAACTCTTGTCTAAACATGCATAAATAAGTTAACCCAAAAGACAACAAGTCATCGAGAGGTGAAGTCTCTCAAGGCAGTGATGATATAGATAAAATTGACTCAAAGTCATTCTAAGCAAAACCTTCAAAGTTTTAGTCTAATCCATTAAAAAACAGGAAAAAATTTATTTTACTGGATTAAAAGAAGGAACTAGAATTTCAAGCTGGAATCAGCCTTAATAATCATATGAGTAAAGGTTCCAATCCTAAGTATGAAAGAGGAATATCACCTGCAAACTCTTAGCAAAGATAGTATATTAATCGTATGAAATCAGCATTTCCAATCTCAAGCAATTTTAATGAGGATTCCTTATCATCATCCGAAGAAAGTTAAGAATCTTTCGAAAATAAGTAATTCAAGCACTATTAATTTTAGTCGTATAAAAAAATGTAGAATATTAAAATGAACTTTTCAGCCTAAAACAATACTGTTACTGGCATTAAAGTCTAAAAATCAAGCACAGTAAAGATACCTATTCAGAAAAAGGCAGATTGTTTAGGATTTGAATAAATTGAGATGCCTTAAGGAGAGCTGTTGCAAGACACCAACTAGGTGAATTTCAATCCTGATATTAATAAATAGAGAATTGATTATGCCAAGCCCCTATAATCAAAGACTGAATAGATTGAGATAAATTAGATCGGTAATGAAAAATAGAATTGTTTAATTTATTGAGTATAACTACTAGTAACTTGCTTATTCCATATTAAATCAGATTTAATTACTTTAAGTACATTCATTTATCCTCAATATTCCTCTTCTGGGTGATAAGCCATGATTCTTAATTACTCTATTGCATCATTTATGTCATCTAATGTAATACTCTCTTGTCTTTTTAAGTCATCTATCTCCCTTATACGGGGTTGAACCTCCATATCAATTTCATAATCCTCTATTGTCTTTAAGATGAACTTCTATTTATTAAGCTCATACATAAGCATTGATAGCTAGACTATCTTTTCATTAATGACCGTTCTCTAATTCAAATGCTGTTTCTCGAGTTCCTAAATACCCCTCACTTTCTATGCTAATTTCCCCTCATTGCATTCCTCTTTTAGTTTTGATTCAATCTAAAATCTTAAACTTAAGCAAAGTTTATTTACCTCTCTGATGCCCTATGATATTTCTATGAACTTCTTTGTGATTTATTAGCACTCCATACTAAAAAGATTTTAATTCAATGAAGCTTTGTAGTTATCCACAATCCTATGAGGAGTTAATAATATTGAAAGAAAAATAAGTACTTTATTAGCAAATTAAACTATTTAACTCTATCCTCGAAAAGTTTGAATAATATATGTAAGTATCGGTCCTTCTGACTTAAGTGTTATAAATCGGTAGAATCTTATTAGGATTAATCTACAAGACCTCCTTCAACTCTATCTTTGTCTTAAAAACTTTAGTTGGTTGTAGTACTTGTATCAATTTAAGTTGCTTCCATAATTAAATTAATAACAAAGTAGTGAAATTAAATTTACTTTTTATTTGTAATTTTCCTAAAAGTGCAAATAATAGCATCTAGGGGTTTTGGGGTTTTGGGGTTTTGGGGTTTTGGGG